GCTCACCAGCAGGCTGAAGACATCCCAGGCGGAAATCGCATCTCTGCAAAGCGTCAGGCAGTGGTACCAGCAGCAGCTCGCCCTGGCCCAGGAGGCGCGGGTCAGACTGCAGGGCGAGATGGCCCACATCCAGGTAGGCCCCACAGCACTGGGCAGCTCACCTTCCTATCCCGTGTGGAGCCACTCGGCTAACATCCCACACCCACCCTACACAGTAAGCATCTTTGTGACCAGGGGGTTTCACGTCCTAGAAATGTCCCTCTCTGGAACATCCTGTGTTTCTGGTTCTGACTGCTGACTCATTGTCCTGTGAGGGCACCTTCCGTCCTGTGAACCATCTCAAATCCACATCCACCTGGTCTCTGCCCTCCTGTGACATTCTTTCTGACACGCACCGAGCGCGCATGGCTTCCCCGCGCAGCTGGAGAAGGACCAGGTGCTCCTCCCTTTTGCTGTGGGAAGGAACCAGCGCAGGTGCACACTCACCGGCCGCTCCCTCTGGGCCGAGTTCTGCTCTGGAGGCCTCGGAACAGCCAGGAAACGCACTTGGCCGCGAACCTCAGTGCTTCGGACTAATTGGGGCTCATGAGGATGCCGAGTGGCCCTCCTTCAGCCTCAGGCTTCTTTTTTCTTTTTAATTTCGCTCTATTTCTCAAATAGAGGAGGAGAAATTCTCATTCTACCCAGTTCTCCTTTTTAAAAACACGCAAGTCTACACATGCACAAAATAGAAGTTTTCTTAAATTTACATCCGACGTTTAAGCCAAAGGACCACACAGACAAGCATTGGTTCTGCTTACAATGTATTTAGAAATAAAACATTTTACAAGTTAATAATGAAGCCAGATTTATGTAAATGACAAAAGTCAGAAATGGAGTTTGGAAGATAAAAACTGGAACAATCCAGGCAGTTTGAGAAATGTAACTGCTTTTGTCAAATCCCCCTGGGACCCAGGCTCAGCATTCCTTAATTAGGGTGTTCACTGCATTGCCCCCTTGTCCAGGGAACATAGACGTGTTCTCAGGACTGTCCAGCAGGGAGGAGAGTCGGGGTGGTCTGTATTCTGCTGTTGCCTTGAGACACGGTCCCAGCACATGGCGTCCCACAGCACTTGGTGTCTCCCTTGCTCTGGCACTCCCACGGAGACCCTGTCCAAGGGGTGTTCCTATTGGATCTAGAAGTGACGTACTCGAAGGTCCAGGTGCAGACCATGTGTCCTCTAGACTGCTCTTTCCTGGCCCCTCCTCTGGGCACCAGTGTGTTTAAAGCTGGGCTCCTTTTTCTCGAGGAGACAGTGGTCAGAGGAGGCCTGACTGATGGCCTGGGTCAGACCCTAGGCTGGATTGCCAGTGTTATTTCCCGGGAATGGCTGGGTCAGCCTGGTATGTCAGGACAGTCAGACACTGAAATGTGCCTGGTCACAGGTGGTCAGTTCACCTGAGGGGCAGACCTACAGCGCCAGCTGCACCTGCGTCCAGCTGAAGGCCCCTCACTTTAGGGGCTCACAGATGCCCCTTCAGTGGGAACTTCTGTGTAGGTCTCACCACAAACATCACATTCTCGCGGGAATGACCACTGGCTTCTGGGCTGCCAGCCTGCCCCTCTGAGGCGCACAGAAACCCCTGGCCCTGGCGTCAAGGTGGCTGGCAGGAGGGTGGGCAGGGAGGCCTGTGTGGTGGGATCCAGGGAGCCGCCCCTCGAGGGCCACCGCTGGGCAGAGACCCTCACACTGGTGGCCTCGGGGACTTATACTTGAAATCCAGCAACTTCCCATCTTACTTTTTCTTTGCAGGTTGGACAGATGACCCAGACGGGCCTCCTGGAGCACCTGAAACTTGAGAATGTGTCCTTGTCCCAGCAGCTGACAGAAACCCAGCACAGGTCCATCAAGGAGAAGGAGCGCATCGCCCTGCAGCTCCAGGGCATAGAGGTGAGGCCCGCACCTCCCGCAGCCCGGGCTGTGGGGGTTCTGTTTTGGGTGGTGTGTTGTTTTGGATTGGGCTTGTTTTTCCGGCCACTGGTCAAGAATAAGAAAATATATAAATACACATGTACATGTAAACATTAATATCATATGTACATTTGTATGTCTTTAAAATATTGAACAGCCTGCCGTGGTGAGACATGCAGATTCAGTTCCTCACATTCTCGTTGAATCGTCAGTGGTATCTCCTCTCCTCTGACCCTCAGTGGCCTGGGTCCTAGTGCTCAGCCCCGTGGAGAGTGATGCTGGGCAGAGCGTGGTTAGAGAAGAAGGAGCTTAGTACAGTGCGTGTCTGAGAGCATTGGAGAGCCTAGCGGTGGTCAGTGCTCTCATCTCGGAGCACGCAGCCTGCGCTACTGTTCAGCCCTCCAGCACGCGCGGCAGTCGGAGAGGCGGCTGCCTTCCAACCCAGTGGCCCATGGCTCCTCTGTGTGCAGGTCGTGGACAGACGGGGATGTGGGCCTGGGCCTCTCACCATGTGGTGGGTTTTCGTGCTCCGTCTGCTGTGGCCATCAGGTTATCCTTTTTAAAATATTCTCTCTTCCGCGCCCAGGCTGACATGTTGGACCAAGAAGCTGCCTTTGTGCAGATTCAAGAGGCAAAGACGATGGTGGAGGAGGACCTGCAGAGGAGGCTAGAGGAGTTCGAGGAGGAGAAGGAGCAGCTGCAGAAGATGGCAGCCTCAGCAGCGGCCCTGGAGCAGCAGCTGGAGCAGGCAAGCACCTGCCATGGCCTCGCCCACGGGCCTGGGCCACACACACTGGCCTGTGGCTGTCCTCACCATGAGCATTAGTGCTGGTCTGTCTGTCAAATTCATTTGAATGTCCCGTCATCAGAGCTGTGCTTCTGTGAGTGTTCTTGTATGCCAGGCCTTTACGTACAGAAGACTGCCTGCACAGTGTCCGTGCAGATATTCTAAAACCGGAACAGGGAAGCAGTATAAATTCTGGAGCGGGAGGTCATACTGAGTCTAGTCCCTTTTCCAGGTGAAGCTAACCCTGCACCAGCGAGACCAGCAGCTTGCAGCCTTGCAGCAGGAGCACCTGGACCTGCTGAAGCAGGTCACCTCAACACAGGAGACGCTGCAGGGCCGGGAGCAGGCCCTCGGTGACCTGCAGGTGCGCTACGATGAGCTGCAGGCCCGACTGGAGGAGCTGCAGGGCGAGGCCACCTCCAAGGACGACGCCATCCGCTTCCTGCAGAACGAGAAGATTGTCTTGGAGGTGGCTCTGCAGGCGGCCAGGAGCAGCGGGGAGGAACTCGACAGAGGAGTTAGGAGCTTGGAAGAAGGTGCTGAGGAAACGTCAGGCATCCTGGAGCAGCTGAGACAGGAGTTAGCCGTCAAGTCCAGCCAGGTACGAGCGCCATCGCCCCCGTTTGTACGCATGGCGCCCACGCGTGCGAGTGTCGGTGCTGATGGTTTGGTCCTTTCTTGAACCCCTTGTTTTGTAAAATGAAAGTGTGTCTAGGGCTGGGTCCAGGGCTTAGCTGAGGAAGGACCCACTCCCGCTGCGGGCCTGCATCAGACACTGGGTGCTCAGAGCCAGGAAACGGTCTGTTTGGACTTGGAAGTAACCTGCCAGGAACACGGTTCTGCCCCCGGATGACAGGCAGCTCAGATGGGAAAGCTGTGTGGAACTTCTGTCTTTTCCATCCTCTGTGCCTGAGTGGTGGGACCCACAGGACACAGTGGCAGGACTGTTGTGTCAATGGGCAAAGTGGGCAGAGAGCCTGAGTGTCTGGGTGTGTGACCTGACCTAGCACTCTCACCTGGGAGCCTTATGCCAACAGCTGGCATGACTGGATGCAGGCGAACATTAAAAACACAGACAGAGCAAGGAAGCTGCAGGGTGTGCAGGAAGTAGGGTTGGTGTCAGGGCATAATTTTGTCTTTTGATTCCACCCCATAGGCAACAGGATGAGAAAACAATTAATGATGTTCCTTTGGGAAGTAAAATCGAGGGAGACTGTTTTCTCTGCAGACAGTGACCAAGCTAAGTTACTTTCTAGGACAGATGCGGAGGCAGTGCATCAAACCAGCAGGGGCATAGTTACAGGAATTGTGCAGATTCTTTTGATAATTTTTTTTTAAATATATTTTATTGATTTTTTACAGAGAGGAAGGGAGAGAGAGATAGAGAGTTAGAAACATCGATGAGAGAGAAACATCGATCAGCTGCCTCCTGCACACCTCCCACTGGGGATGTGCCCGCAACCCAGGTACACGCCCCTGACCAGAATCGAACCTGGGACCTTTCAGTCCGCAGGCCGACGCTCTATTCACTGAGCCAAACCGGTCAGGGCCTTTTGATAAATTTGAGTTTGAGTTTACTGACAGTTACTAAGAGAGACATCAGCTGACACTTGGAAAGCTCTGGAGGAGACATTTGTTGGTTCTAGGCATTATTGATCATGTCTGAGTTTCACCTGTATTGTTATTAACCAAGTCGCTGGTAGCTATACCTTAGATTAAGATAAGATAATTATTCTAAAAATAGTGCATAGGAAGTGGTGGTGGCTTTCCTGTCTCACTGGAAGCTGTCTTTCCCACCCTGACTTGGGGACTAGCGTGCACGCCTGTCCCTCATATGCACAGGGCCCTCCTGGAGCCCTCGGTAACACTGTGCACGCCTGTCCCTCATATGCACAGGGCCCTCCTGGAGCCCTCGGTAACACTGCACGCCTGTCCCTCGTAGGTGGAGCACCTGCAGGAAGACGCCAGCTCTCTGAAAAAGCAGATGCAGAAAATAAAGGAACAGTTTCTTCAACAGAAGGTAAAGTTGAGTTGTTGGTGTTCTTTATGTGAAATAAGTGTGTGAAAACAATCTTGTAAGTGGTTCAATCACTTCACTAGAAAAAGTTGATCAAGAGCAAGGTAATGTCTAGATGCTTGATTTTAGAGAGAGGGGATGGGAGAGAGAGAGAGAGAGAGAGAGAGAGAGAGAAAAGAGGAAGGAAGGAAGGAAGGAAGGAAGGAAGGAAGGAAAGAAAAAAGGAAGAAAGAAA